GGAAATCAATGATTTGGGCCTTTTCGGGCCTTCCTGGAAGCCCTCTTGGAGGGCCTCTTGTGCCGTCTTGGTGAACTCTTGGCCCGTCTGACGCTGTCGGAAGCCGTTTGGGGGGCCTCTATGGGCCGACTTGGGGCCCTCTTTGGGTGCTCCAGGGCCGTCTTGGAGACCATCTTGGGCGTCTTAAAAGGCCTCCTGGGCCGTCTTGGGGGCCTCTTGGGGCCGTCTTGGGGGCCTCTTGGGCCGTTCTGGGGCCATCTTGGAGGCCTCTTGGGCTATCTTGGGCGATCTTTGGGGGCTCTTGGGCCGTCTCGGACCGTCGGAAGGACGAAACGAAGCAAATGTCAAAATCCTTCTTGGAAGCCCTCTTGGAGGCCTCTTGGGCCGTCTTGGGCCAACTTCGAGCCAACTTCGGCCATCTTGGTGGGTTCCTGGCACGTCTGACGCCGTCGGGAGCCGTCTTGGGGGCCTCTCTGAACCGACTTGGGGTCCTCTTGGGGCGCTTCGGGGCCGTCTTGGGGCCATCTTGGGCGTCTTGGAGGTCTCTTGGGCCGTCTTGGGGCCCTCTTGGGGCCGTCTTGGAGGCCTCTTGGGCCGTCATGGGGCCCTCTTGGAGGCCTCGTGGGCGATCTTTGGGCGATCTTGGCGACCTCTTGGGCCGTCTTGAGCCGTCGGAATGCCGAGAAGAGGCAAATTCCAAAATCCTTCAAAAACCTATGGAAAATCAATGACTTTAGCCTCTTCGGGCCCTCCTGGAGCATCTCTTGGATGCCTCTTGGGCCGCCTTGGAGGCTTCTTGAGCGAACTTGGAGGCATCTTGCACTCTCTTAGGCCGTCTTGGAGGCCGTCTTGGACCATCTAGGGCGGACTTGGAGGCCGTCTTGGACCATCTTGGAAACCATCTTGGGCCAACGTGGCCATCTTGGAGGCCATCTGGAACCGTCTTGGAGGATTTGTTCCGGACGTTAGGTCGTTTGCGGGTCTGGAATTCCCTCCCGGGACCCCGGCGGGACGCGCCGGAGCCCCAGGGGAAGTTCAGTTGGAAAAAGAACCAAAACCAAAACCGAAAGGATCAAGCACGCCAGGCACCCTTGCGATGAATCGACAAGGGGCGGCGGATTATCGAAGACGCCTACGGCGAATCACCGCCGCCCCCTGCCTGTTTGGAAACACCTATGTGGCCGAACGTTGTGGCCAGAGGCCTGCTAAGCTATCGGACCATGTATTCCCCGAATCGGTTTGGAAAACGTTCGGGGAACACGATGGGCGAGGCTGGGCCGACTTGGAAGCCGTCTTGGAGGGCTCCTGGGCCGTCTTGGAGGCCATCTTGAGCGTCTTGGAGGCCTCTTGGGCCGTCTTGGGGGCCTCTTGGGGCCGTCTTGGGCGATCTTTGGGGGCTCTTGGGCCGTCTCGGGTCGTCGGAAGGCCGAAAAAAGCAAATGCCACAATCCTTCAAAAACTCGTGGGAAACCAATGATTTGGGCCTTTTCGGGCCTTCCTGGAGGCCCTCTTGGAGGCCCTCTTGGGGGCCTTCCGTCTTGGGGGCCTCTTGGGCCGTTTTGGGGCCATACTGGAGACCTATTGGGCGATCTTTGGGAGCTCTTGGGCTATCTCGGGCCGTCGGAAAGAAGCAAATGTCAAAATCCTTCGAACACCTATGGGAAAATCAATGTTGTTGGCCTTGTCGGGCCTTCCTGGAGGCCCTCTTGGAAACCTCTTGGGCCGTCTTGGACCATCTTAGGGCCATCTTCGGCCGTCTTGGTGAACTCTTGGCCCGTCGGACGCTGTCGGAAGCCGTTTGGGGGGCCTCTATGGGCCGACTTGGGGCCCTCTTTGGGTGCTCCAGGGCCGTCTTGGAGGCCATGTTGGGCGTCTTAAAAGGCCTCCTGGGCCGTCTTGGGGGCCTCTTGGGGCCGTCTTGGGGGCCTCTTGGGCCGTTCTGGGGCCATCTTGGAGGCCTCTTGGGTGATCTTGGGCGATCTTTGGCCTCTTGGGCCGTCTCGGGCCGTCGGAAGGACGAAACGAAGCAACTGTCAAAATCCTCCAAAAACCATTGGAAATCTATATTTTGGGCCTCTTCTGGCCTTCCTGGAGGCCCTCTTGGAGGCCTCTTGGGCCGTCTTGGGCCAACTTCGAGCCAACTTCGGCCATCTTGGTGGGTTCCTGGCCCGTCCGACGCCGTCGGAAGCCGCTTGGTGGGCCTCTTTGGGCCGACTTGGGGCCCTCCTGGGGTGCCCCAGGGCCATCTTGGCGGGCCATCTTGGGCGTCTTGGAACACACCTGAAAACACGCAAGCGATAGCCACGTGAAGCGAGAAACAACCAAGGAAATACGAGAAAGGAACCCGGCGACCCGAAACAAAACCATATCCGTGGGAACCTGCTCCTGGTGGGTCTTGGGGTTTCCTGGGGCCCCCCTCTGGAGCCCACCTGGGGACCGCCATGGGCCTCAAAGATCACAAAAGGCTTCCGAAACGGCCCCAACGGGCCTCCAAAGACGGCACGAGATGCCTCCAAGACAATCCAAGAGGCCCCAGAGACGGTTTTCTGCGAGGGGGCCCAGGACGGATGATCCGGCCAGACATTTCACAGTGTCACTCGCGTACTCCTTGAATGTCCCGCACGCTTGTATCTGAATTGTACTTACTGTCCCGCGCGCTCACATTTGATGTCCCGCCCGCTTGCACGCGCTCTCCCTAGGACACCGATGAGGAGGATGAGAAAGAGGACGACCGACAGATCGGAAGTTCAATGTTGGAGTGCAAGACTCAGAATCCCACCAGCCCTTTGGGCGTGAGTGGTTTAGGGAGCTCTCTCTGTTCTCAACCCCCCATCTTCCCCTTCGGGGAGGGGTTTACCCCTCCCCCTACCCCCTCCCCCTGGACCTGGACAGGGAGTCCGGGGCGGTGTCAGGGGGGTCTTTTTCGACTCCTGGGAGGGCCAAAAAACGACGACCCTCACGAGGATTCTGGCCCCGACGGGGGGAGTGAGTTTGGCCCCTCTGCTCGTCTTTGAAGCAGGAATCATTGATTTTACTACGGTTTTGGCCCCATTTTGGCCTCCTGATGGGGGCCGCGCTCATCTTCCTACATAGCAAAATCATTGATTTTACCAAGGTTTTGGGGTCATTTTGTCCTTCTCAGGGGGCAGCCCTCATTTGCGCTTCTGAGGAGGTCGCAAGAGGCCCCAAGATGGCCCCAAGAGGCCCCCAGGAGGCTCCCAAGAGGCCTCCAAGAGGCCCCCCAGAGGCCCCCAAGCGGCCCCAAGAGGCCCCCAAGAGGCCCCCAAGAGGCCCCCAAGAGGCCTCAAGAGGCCCCAAGAGGCCCCCAAGAGGCTCCCCAGAGGCCCCCAAGAGGCCCCCAAGAGGCCCCAAGAGGCTCCAAGAGGCCCCCAAGAGGCCCCGAACGAGGAGGGGCCCGAACGACTCACACCAGGACGAGGGGCCCGAACGACTCACACCACGACGAGGAGCCCGAACGACTCACACCACGACGAAGAGCCCGAACGACTGACACCAGGAAGAAGGTCCCGAACGACTCACACCAGGACGAGAGGCCCGAACGACTCAAACCACGAGGAGCCCGACGACGGCTCACACCAGGACGAGGGGCCCGAACGACTCACACCACGAGGACGCCCGAACGGCTCACACCAGGAAGAGGGGCCCGAAGGACTCACACAAGGACGATGGGGCCGAACGACTCCCCCCACGACGGGCCCCAACGACTCCCACCAGTCGACGTCGTCGTCGTCGTCGTCGTCGTCGTCGTCGTCGTCGCCGCCGCCTTCGTCGTCGTCGTCGTCGTCGACGTCGTCGTCGTCGTCGTCGTCGCGGTTGTGGTCGTCGTCGTCGTCGCGGTCGATATCGTCGTCGTCGTCGGGTGCGTCGTCGTTGTTAGAATCATCGCTGTGGTCGTCCTCCTAAATCCCTCTTGCCTCCCACCGCTTTCTCTCCCTCCTCCTCCGCCTCGTCCTTCTCCCGCTCCCACCACAAGGAGGATGTACAAGGAGGCGGGAGGAAGGAGGAACAGGGGAGATATGCGGGGGCAGGCGGAAACACGCCTGAAAAACACAACTGTCGGCATGCTTCGCAAGAGTTGCTGTTTTGAGATGGGCTGGTGGTGATACGCGAAGCGTGAAGAATTAGGAGTTGACACCACATCTTGGCTTTGAAGTCCAATATTGGGTTCCAAAGTTCAATATTCAAATGTTCCAGGTCTTGGACTTTTTCAACATTTCAACGTTAGGGTTCGGAACTCTATTACTGAGTTGGCGGCGGCCGAAGTAACTTCCGAGGTTTGAACTCCCATATTGAAGTCGCCGATAGGGTGCCGATTGAATACTTTACTTTTCACTCAGCCAGAGGCCACCCACGGTTGAGTAACACATACTATACCATGTCAGAACATAACACAACATAATCATGCATCACATCGCAAACCATTTCTTACCACGGCAAAACATACGATGACAGAGCGCGGCAGAATACGCTATCGCATATCAGCACTATGTCAGAATTGGTCACACATGACATAGCATAACACCACACCTGACAACACACAACAACACATACCATGACACACCATGTAGTAACATATCATATCATATCATCCAATGCGTCGAATGTTTCGGTGGCTGTCGCTCGAAGCAAACTATGCCAAACAAGGTGGGAGATCCCAATATTCATAAATGCACCACCGCAATGGATTCGCAGGAAAATGTATTCGGCCTGAGGCGCGCGTCAGCCGGGTATGCTTGACGCTCGAGCGAGAGGGCCATCCCCCCACCGCCTGACCTGACCACCTCCATACCGCTGGGCGAACTTCAACGGTGCTCACACGATCGTCTTCAGCAGTACCAGTACTCCGCGCAAGTGAACCCATCCCAAACGCGGTGGCACCACTGACGTCAGCTGTCACGCACAGCGCAAGTGGGCACATCCCACAAGCGCCTGTGAGAAAGCGACAAAGCAATGCACGGTAAACGATGGCGCCGAACTTATCACTCCCAGGTCGCAACCGATGCACCATCTGCGGGCATGTCTGGTTCCTGCTGAGTGTCCGTGTAAGCTTTGCTCCATAATGCGACCGCGTGCTTGCACTGCTTGCTCGGGGTCGACACGCTCGTGTGGTCATCGCCGCCGAGAAGACCCCCGATGAGAAAGCCCGCCTTGCTTACGTGCTTGAGGAGGACGTTGAGGTACTTGATACCCGATCCCGTGTGACCCCAGACGACCTTGAGACCAACCCCGCCGAAATACATCCACGGCGAATTTGGCCTCTTGTCCGGCGAATCCGCGAAGAACTGCAGGCCGCCTTGGATCTTGCCGTGGGCCCCCCGTGCGGCCTCTAGGAAATCGGAGGTCCGGTTGCGGGACTGGAAGTGCAGCTCCTCCTCGACCCACAGGCCTGTCAGGTTGAGGGCCTGGAAGTACAGGTCGCTGCACGAGGCGCCCAACTTCTCGGCGCGCGCCTCCAGGTGCAGCTGCGTGGCGTTCCGCGCCGCGCCCCGCGGGACCTGGAGGAGCAGGTGGACGCCCGGTTGGTAAAGATCGAAGTGCTGCCCGTACACGTTGACCAAGTGCGGGTCGCCCGTGGCAGTCGCCCCGCCCCCCGGGCCCGCCGCGGGCGGCGCAGGGCCAGGCGTCGGGCTGGGCGTCGGGCCTGGCGTCGCGCTGGGCGTCGGGCCGGGCGTCGGGCTGGGCGTCGCCGGGCCGGGCGTCGGGCTGGGCGTCGGGCTGGGCGTCGGGCCGGGCGTCGGGCTGGGCGTCGGGCTGGCCGTCGGCACCTGCGGGGTGGGCGTGTGCGACGGGATCGCTCCGTCCGTGGCCCAGGCGAAGTTCAATTCCGTTTCGGTTTCGGAGCCCAGCCGAACGGTGAATGTCACTGAGTACGTGTCTGGTGCCGAGTGCGCCGCGTCCCTGTGGCCCTGCGATCCTGGGGCTTTCTGGCTGAACTCGTTCTCAACTTGCATGTCGCCGTCCGCTTCGCCATATTTAGACCAGGCGCCCGAGGTCCACCTGTAGAGGGAGCCGCCCAAGGTGCTCACGCCAGTGATGGTGATCGGGAGCACCGCGGGCCAGTCGGCCGGCACAACGACCTGGAACTGGGCCTCCCCTTGGGCGCCACTCGTCGCCTGCACGCGAAGGGGGTAGGCGCGCTCCAGGGTGCCCACGGTCACCTGGGGGCTTAGGTCCCCCGCCACGGCCTCCTTCCAGGCGATGTTCCAGGAGGCGTCGGGGTCGGAGAGCCAGGACTGCATCTTCGTGTTCGTGCCGTAGTAGACCTCAGAGGAGTTCGGGTACAAGAAGAACTCGAACTCGGCCTCGATGTAGTCGCCGGCCTGTAGGCTATCAAAGCCCGCGGGGGGCGAAATCTGAAGGCCCTGGCCGTTGGACGTCCACTCGCCCTGCGTGAGCATGAACCTGGGCGAGGGGGAGGAGGAGGAGGAGGAGGGGGAGGAGTAGGAGTAGTAGTAGTAGGAGGAGGAGGAGAAGGAGGGGGAGGAGAAGGAGGAGGAGGAAGAGGAGGGAAAGGAGAAGAATGATGAGGATGAGGAGGAGGAGGAGGAGGAGGAGGAGGAGGAGGAGGAGGAGGAGGAGGGGGAGGAGGAGAAGGGATAGTAGTAAAGTTAGTAGGAGGAGGAGGAGGAGGAGGAGGAGGAGGAGGAGGAGGAAAAGGAGGAGGAGGAGGAGGAGGAAAAGGAGGAGGAGGAGGAGAAGGAGGAGGAGGGGGAGGAGGAGGAGAGGAGGAGGAGGAGGAGGAGGAGCAGGAGGAGGAGGAAGAGGAGGAGCCTGGGGCCCTCCGAGGCAGGGCGGTCGGCCCCGCCCAGCTTCGCCTTCCACTTGCGCACGACCAGGCCGCGGTGCGCGTTCATGTCCTGGGTCGCGCGCCCCTCGTTGTAGGCGGGGGAGAGGAGGGCGAACCAGCACGGCGGGACCGTGCACGCGGTCCAGCTTTCGTTCTCGTACTGCGAGCCGCCCGACATCGTGGGCACATCCACGACGTCCGACAGCTTGCCGTTGCCGTCCCCGTACACGAACTTCGGGCTCATCACGTAGCTGTAGAACTCGGGCCCGACGTGGTAGGCGACGAAGCGGGGGTAAGTGACGTCCTTCAGTACCTCGTAGCGCACGACGTGCAGGTGGCGCGCAAAATCGTCAACGGCCCAGGTAGACGCGTGCACTGTGCGCTTGATGCCACCGTCCACGGTCGTCCCGATCCACGAAGCGTTGGTTAGCTTGGGGCCGTTCATGACGTGGTAGGACTCTAGCCCGGTGAGATACTGGTAGTTGCCTGTCGTGCCAAAAACGGCAAGGAACTCTTGGCCGCCATGATTCTCCGTCCACTGAGTGCGTTCAGCGTCGCCTAAACACTGGCCGTGCGCCGAGTTCATGCCGCAGACCAAGAAAGGCCTGATGTCCAGGCCACCCGTGGTTCGCGTCATTGCTGGGTCCGGATTGAAGGTGATCGTTTCACCGTTGGAGCCCAGCCCGACCTGCTCCCAGAGTCCGTTGCCTGCTCTGGAGCCCCAACCTATCAGACTGAGCTGCGCGTGGGAGACCGAGTAAAGAGAGTGGAAAAACTGGTACACGAAGACTAGTTCCATCGTCAGACTGCTCTGTGGAGGCAGTCGCACAACCGTCGCTGGCGTGAGCCAGCGGCCGTCGTAGGGCGCGTACCCCTCTCCCAGGCCGTTTGTGGTGTGCCAGTTCTTGCTGATCTGGACGTGATGCCCAGAAGGCTCTGAGGAGGTCGCGTTGCGAAGGAATACATTGACACCGGTGATGCCACGAGGCTGGTCGTCGTGGAACAGCATGCGGAAGACGGCGGACTCCGCGTTCGAGTTAGTGAGGCTCACCGAAAACTGGCTGTTCACCAACCAGCTGGTGCCCTGGCCGTCAGGAAGCGCCACGCGCCATCCAGCCCCGTCTGCAGAGACCGTCAGTCCGCCACCGAAAGCTTGGTTGAAGACGATGTCCCGTCTGGGGTTGAACCCGGAGCCGATGGTAGCGGTTGGCTCCAGATTGAACATGTAGGACTCGGCTCCACCGGAGCACGCCCAGGCCTGATTTGGTGCACTGTTCCTCGCTCCGGTTGCAACCATGGTGAGTCCTGACGGCACGTCCGCCCCGGTCAGAGTCGTGCCGGCCCCAGGGCAGCCCTCTGGGACATTCTCGGGGAGGGCGCAGAAGTAGAAGCCCGTCCCCCCCCAGGCCCAGTGGACCACCCTCGCGATCGTCAGGGTCGCAGGGCAGGTCGTGGGGCAGCCAACGCAGACTGCGACGCCTTCGTCTGCGGGAGTGGCTGGCGGCGTCGGCGTCGGCGTCGACGCCCACTTCTCGGAGAGAGAGCCGTCAGTTGATACGCAGAACCCAAGGCTCGCTTCGCCGGTACCAGTCGCAGAGGTACTGAACGCCCCCAAGGTGACGTCGACCTGCACGGAGTCCCCCGTCGCCGTCGAGGTGAGGTACAGCTCAAAGCAGTCTGGCCAGGCCTTGACCTCAAGGGTAGCACTCTGCGTGCCGCACTGCAGCCCGCCAACCCAGAAATGCGAGTAGTACCTCCCGTTGCGAACGGTGCGGATGGGATACATCTTGCCGTCGTCGTTCCAGTCGCCGCTCGGGCCCACGCAACTCATAGAGTTGACCGACAGAGAGTTCGGCGTCAGTGACCCCACAGAAGTCTGGGACGTGAAAGGGTAGAACTCGAGCACGCTCATGCTATCCATGCTCCACACCAGGTAGTAGAAGCCGGAGCGAAAGAAGACATCCCTGGGAGTGTTGGTCGTGTCCAAGGGGCCACACACCGACCAATCCCCTCCAGCGGTCGGGTACGGGTTGCACCCGCTCCTGCTCCAGGTCCAGCTCTCCCACTGGGCCGTGCTGATCTGATCGCGTGGAGAGCCGTTCCTCCACCCGACCAGGAGGTAGTCCTGGCTCGCGCCAACCTCGGCCGCCACCTGGCCGAAGGTCACACCCGTCAGGCTGGAGCCCTGGCGCTCACCCTCCCCGTGCATGCTGACCTTGCACGGTTTCCCCGGGGCGGTAGGCGACCCGAGGAGGATGAGGATTAGGAGGAGGTGGAGGAGGGGGAGGGGGAAGAGGGGGGGAAGAGGAGGAGAAAGAGGAGGAGGAGGAGGAGGAGGAGGAGGAGGAGGAGGAGGAAGAGGAGGACGGGTCGCCTAAGCCCTTCGGAGAAACCCTCCAGCTGACCTGGATCAGCGAGTGGTCGAGGTCCGCCTCCGTGCGGGCTCCGCCCGCGGACCCGGGCGCGCCCGTCGTAACGCTGGCCGCGATGCCCGCCAGCAGGGCCAGTCTCGCGGAGGAGGCGCCGACCATCCTGCAGGATCCTGCCAGTGTCATGAAGAAATGTGTGTCGTGGATGGTGATCCGCTCGGCAGATCGCGTGCCTGGGGCTCAGAGGTGCTGAAGCCTTGAGCCAGCATGGTTGCGGAGAGCGGTCTTGGGGCCTTCTTGGGTTTGGGAGCCCTCTTGGGGGCCTCTTGGCCTTCTTCGGGCGATTTAGGAGGCTTCTTGGGCCGCCTTGGCCGATGTAAGCGCGCAAGAGGCGAATGTATTACACGTGCACCTTTCCCCCAGGGATTGGGACTATTTCCCGGAAAGAGAGGAGGCCCAGGGTTTTCTTTTAGTTGATAAGTCTTACCCTGGTGCCAAGTTCGAAGAGGGCGGGCATACTCATTTTGCGATCAATAACGAAGTCGCGTAGGGCTGGCGAAATAACACATTGAGGATGTCCCTAGCGAAACGCTGGTTTTTGAAACTCCGATTGATTAGGAACATAGGGTAAAGTAAACAGTTTGGTTTGTTGCGGATGTATATGGCGAAACGCTTGTTTTGCAATGTGTTGAGGATGTCTCTAGCGAAATGCTTGTTTGGGAGACTTCCAAGAACCTGGGTGCCCAAGGATGCCCCAGGGGGGCCCTGGGAGTGCGGACGCAGCGTAATATATGAGGGATCGCGGCCCTGGGAGCGTGGACGCAGCTTAGTTTACCAGGGATCGTGGCCCAGGGAGCGCGGACGCAGTATAATTGACAGGGGATCGTGGCCCTTGGAGCGCGGACGCCGCGTAATTTACAAACAAGTGCGGCCCTGGGAGCGCGGGCGCAGCGTAATTTACGAGGGAACGCGGCCCTGGAGGGGGGGGGGGACACTGTGCAATTCGTGGGGGAACGTGGCCCTGGGAGCGCGGACGCAGTGTAGTTTACTAGGGATATGCAATGTAATTTAGTAGGGATCGTGGCCATTGGGAGGCTGTTATAAAATAATTCACGGGGGAGCGCGGCCCTGGGAGCGCGGACACAAAGTAATTCACGAGGGAGCGCGGCCCTGGGAGCGCGGACGCAGCGTAGTTTACTTGGGATCGTGGCCCAGGGAGTGCGGACGCAGCGTAGTTTACGTGGGATCGTTGTCCAGGGAGCGCGGACGCAGCGTAATTTACAAAGGATCGTGGCCGTGGGAGCGCGGACGCAGCGTAATTTATCAAGAATCGTGGCCCTGGGAGCGCGGACGCAGCGTAATTTACGAGGGGCCCTGGCCTGGGGTCAGGGACGTCCCGCGGCACGTTTCCTGACGCGTTCCCTGGCATGTTCCCTGGCGCGTCGCCTGGCGCGTTCCCTGGCACGTTCCGTGGCGCGTCCCGAGGCGAGTCCCCTTGGCACGTCGCGCGGCGCATCCCCTGGGGCGTCTCGTGGCACGTCCAGTGGCACGTTCCCTAGCGCGTCCCCATGGCACGTCCCGCGGTGCGTCCCCATGGCACGTCCCCTGGCACGACCTCTGGCGCGTCCCTTGGGACGTTCTGCGTCGCGTCCCCCTGGCGTGTCCCCCTGTCAATTAGCTCTGGGGTAACCACTGTGTTCTCAGGCAGCTCGAGCTTACCAGATCAGTTCGGTTCAGGACTCGGATGCAAAGGGGGACTCGATCCACAGCGCTGAACACAATCGCGGCACGGCGCAGCACAGCACAGCCGTTGGCACGGTACGTCAAATCGATACAATCAGCAGTGCAACTGCCCGTCGCCCAATCAGGTGCCTTGACACCGTTGCCATGCCTGATGTTTCTATATTCCTTTCCGGGTTTGTGGCTCTATCATGTTTTGCTCTTGGACGCCGTCTTGGGAAGCATCTTGGGGGTTCCTTGGATCGTCTTCGGCCTCTTGGGCCGTTTGAAGGCCAACGTGAGCGCTTTGGATCGATCTTTCGGCGGCTCGTGCACCGTCCTAAGGGCCGGCCTCCTGGATCCCTCTTGGCCTGGTGGGAGGCCCCCCCCGGGCGCGTTCGGCCAGTTTCCGGGGACCCAGACTGGGCTCCCAGGGTTGGGGAGGGGGAAGCAACTCACACGCCGATGAACACCAAGGGGCCGGCGGATTACTGCCCCCCGGGGGTCCCTGGGGGTGGTCCAACTAATGAAAAGGGGCACCAGGGACGGGTTCCATGTCGGAGGGGGCTAGCCCAGGGCAAGCCCCCTCCCGCATGGAACCAGAGCCGGGGCCGGGACCAGGGCCCCTGGTCCTGGCCCTGGCCCGCCGGCACTGCGCCAGAGCTCGAGGACCAGGAGCCTGAAGGAAAAGAGCCATGCGACGTCATGATTCTTTCAACACGCGGTCTCGAGGCCCAGTGTTGCATCCCGAGTCGTCATCTGGTAGTCCTGGGGCCCAGCGAGGGCCTCCAGAGGCCGAAAACTGTGAAAAAACCTCCCTCCTGATGTCTTTGAGACGCGATCATGTCTGGGAGAGGAAGAGGTCGGAGATCTACTGGCCCGGGTCAATCCAGACCCGGGTCAGTCAGGCTCTGCAGGATCCTGCAGAATCCTGCAGGAGCCTGCTGCATCCAAGCCCAGGTCAGTGCACCCCTGGCCCTGCAGGATCCTGCAAGATCCGACGCTCTGACTGACCCCCGTTTGCACTGACCCCCATCTCTTGTCGGGGAGATGTAAGACTCGGGTTCGGGGGACTCGGGTTGGCCTGACGGGGCCATCATGAAAATGACGAGACCCAATCTGAAGCTTGACGCGAGCTCCTGCTGCAGACATCCCACGGAAATGGACCGTCAAGATCCAGGACGCGCTCATCGAAAAAGCGTCGGCAAACCCGAGTCCCGGCGTACTCGAGTCTTACGTTTCCCCGATCTTGAGCCCCGAGAAAGTCGGGGGCGCGCAAACATGGATTATTAGCGATCCATGGATTTGGCGCGCGGCCGGTGCCGCCTCGCTCGGCGGCGGAAATCCGCGATTTCCCGTGGAAACGGGACCCGCCGCTAATCCCGCGCCCCCCTGGAGACCCCTGCCTGCGATCGCCGGAGAAAGGCTGCAGCGGCGCGGCTCTGGCGGAGAGGCCGCGGGCGGGGGCAGCGGGCGCGCGCCGGCGGCCCGCCCGGCCGGCTGGGCCTCGCTCGCCGGGGTCACCACGAGCTCCCCGACGGCCTCCTGGAGGGTCTCGCGCCGCGGCTGCCCCCCTTCCTCCCCTCCCTTCCCTCCCTTCCTTCCCTCCCTTCCCTCCCTTCCCTCCCTTCCCTCCTGCCTCCTCCTCTTCCTCCTCCTCACTACTCCTCCTTCCTCTTCCTCCTTCCTCCTCCCTCCCCCCTTCTTCCTCCTCCCGCTCCGTCCTCCCTCCCTCCCTCACCTCCCCTCCCTTCCTCCTCCTCCTTCCTCCTCCTCCTTCCTCCTCCCTCTAGACTTTCTCGCGGCGCATTTTTTATTGTTGTTGCCATGTTCGGCCTCCAGGGGCCCTGATCGGCCTCGAGGCCATCGACAATGGATCTGGGACGAAACTCTCGGCGGATGAAAAGAAACATTTCGCCGGATGTCTGTGTCATCCTCCGTGTCGGGAATCCTGAGGCACGAATGCGGAGGATCGAGGTTTGTGGACGTTCTTCAGCCTTTCTGCGTCCCCTGGGAGCTCGTCGCCGCGGCAGAATCCACATCGCAAACCTGGTCAGAACGCGCCCCACGATGCGTCCGGGGTGTGAGTTTACCTCCCGAACCTGAGATCCTGGCGTCGCACCTTTTTCACGCCAGGCGCATCCGCCCAGTCCCTGGTCCCAAGGCCATCCCGGATGGTCCGGCTCGAGGAGTGCCGCAGAGAGACGAGGTCTGGGGCGCTGCGGCCGTGCTTGTTCACGATGTGTACGTTTCATGTTCTGCGACCTCGGACCTCAGGTTCCTCCCTGCCCCCCCTCGCTCCTCCTCCACCCCCTCCCCACCTCTCCTTCTCCCAGGCCGTCGCATCGGAGCTGGGGCTCGCTGTGACTGTCACAAAGCGCGAGGCGCAGCACGCCCTCCCAGCCCGTCCTCCCCCGCCTCTGCCTCTGTCAGCACTACCCTTTCTATCCTCTCCTCCATCCTTTCGTCATCCTCATCTCCTCAGCTTCTTCCTCCTCGTCTCACAGCTATTGTATCACATGTTCCCGTGCATCTTCACCTCCTCTCCCCTCCTCCTCTCCTCACCGCACCTCTCCTGTCGTCTCTGTCTTCCTCACTCGCCCCCCCCACTCCGTCCTCCCTCCCTTCAACTCGGCTCTCTCCTTCTCTTAACTCGTCTCCCCATCCCCATCCGTCCTTCCCTCCCTCCCAACGCCTTTTCCTCCTGCCTTCCTCCTCCCCTCGTTCTATCCTACGTCTCCTCCCGCCACCCTCACCACCTCTAATGCACTCTTCTTCTGCCTTATCCTCGTCTTCCTGGACGTATCCTGCCCTCTTCCTTCTCTCGTTCTCAGCTCCTCCCTCATCATCGCCTGTTTCCTGCACTCACCCTCCTTCTTATCCCCCCATCTCTGTTTTCCTTCACCTCTTCATAAGAGGTAATAGTATACTCCTCTTCTTCCTACTCCACCTCCTCCTCCTCCCCCTCCTCATCCTACTCCTCCTCCCTCGACTCATTCAGCCAACGTGCGCGGAGGAGGGGGAGCAGGATGAGCATGAGCAGGACGACCACGACAACGACGACCAGCCCCTGGACCTGTCCAAAGGTGTGTTCTGACCAGAATTGCGAGGGGAATCCAGCCGTGGCCACGATGGCGCCCAAAGAGGACCAGAGAGGCTGGAGACACTTAACAATCTCTACACTCGACTGGCGAAATAAGAAACGACTAAACAACAACTTTCGAGTGTCCGCGCGGATCTCTGGGATCGCAGCTGGCACCCCGTCTCTGGCGCGCGGAGCGCGCCAGAGGCGCCGCCAGAGGCGCCGCCAGAGGCGCCGCCAGAGGCGCCGCCAGAGGCGCCGCCAGCGGGCTCCAGCGCCGATGGGGTTCCAGCGTCGATCCAAGAACTCACTACATGCCAGCGGCATTGTGTGTTGTAGCATCCAAGAACTTGTTCGGGACCCCATCCCCTCACCCCTTCCCCAC